ATATATATATATTATTAGAGTATTAGAGTTCAATATTTTTTTCCCCAAAAATTTATATTTTATATAACTGGTTTTGTATTGAAACATTGTCTATACATCTATACATCTATATTTATAGATATGTAAGTATACGCTACATATAGGCAATGTTATGTTCACATTAAAAGTCTAATTAAATGGCTTGCAATATTGAAAAAATGGCACATGTAGTGGTATAATATTCATTCATTTTTATTATTTTAAAAAAAGTTACCTTTTCATGAATGCACGTTTTGTTTAGGTCAAAAAAGTTACTCTAGGAAAAACCTCATTCATAAAAAAAAAAAGTAATTATTGTTATACCTGATCGAGCCCCTTTAGATCAGTACGAGACGGTACGCCGACAAACTCTATGAAAGTGAGGCTATTTGTCACTTCATTTTACATTTATAGATGTACAAACACAACCTTTGTGTTTTCTTTAAATTATATTTAAAAGAGGTCATCTGATTAAAATTTTTCTCTTTGGAGTGTTGCAAGCTCTTGGTGCATAAAGAAGATCTGTAAAGTTGCAAAGACTAACATCTCAAATTCAAAAAGATGTTCTTTATAAAATTTCAGAGTCAGCCACACCTACCTAAAACGCCTCGTTCTAACACGTCCCCACATATCTACATCACGATGTGGGAAGATTTGCATAACGCCGCCCAAATGTTCACGCAAAGAAAGTAACTTTTATTCTCGCTGTAGTATTGTTGTTGCCGCCGCCGCCATGGCGTGAAGGCGCTGTGTGTTTCGTTGTGAAAGTGGCTGTTCTGACTCACAGACTGTAAGTACGTTTTAAAAAAATATATATTTAAAGAATTTGCCACTGATGATTCAAACGTGAGTTTTGAGCAGTGTAGAGTAGGGCTTGTTGTTTGTCATTTCTCCGGTCACAAATGCAGACATGGTTTTATGTTTACGCGGCGAGATGCAATGCAACGCGTAAAAAGACAGTATAAGGCATTATAATCCATAATTATGTCCCCACTGGATGCAACAAATGCCTCGTTTATAATGGGTTTTAATGTTTTTGTCTCATCGCTCCGGCCGGACAGAGCGTCACAGGTTGGTAAGGGGCGTAACATTTCCGTCACACGCTTGAGGTATTCGGCCAATCACAACGCACTGGATAGCTGGCCAATCAGAGCACACCTCGCTTTAAGACCGATGAGTTTTGTAGAAATCTATGCGTTTCAGAAAGGCGGGGCATAGAGGAGAAACAATAATGTACAGTATGTGGAAAATAATGTGTTTTTTGAACCTTAAACCGCATAAACACATTTCATTACACCAAATACACAAAATACTGTTCTTTTTAGCAACATCATATGACCCCTTTAAGATAGTTAGATACGCTTAGCTGACAGCGCCTCGCAAATTTCAGTAAATAATTCGCATATTGCTTTGCACAGTGTTGAATATCAAAGTTTAAGTTCTGTGGTGTCGCTTACAGTGTAGATGGTGAGATGCTTCCTCCTTTAACCCCTCCCACTTTATTTATAACGACACATTAGTGCGATAGTCTGCCTCAAAGCAAAGATATTCTACCATGATGCGCGTTTACAGGCGTCTCTGATAGTGTATAGGGAATATATAAGCTAATAATAGTTTATTTTTATATCTACGATCATCGTTTATTATTCAAAAGTTTTATATGCAACTGTAAGATGTCATAAATGGCCTGATAACTTAAATGTTACATGCAATCCTCAAGATACATGATTATTTTCTAGCGAAATGCTTTTATTTTCTAAAAAGCAACATTTTTCCGGTTATTTATGAAGATGGGAAGGATTACATGATAAAAGCATCCTCGTAGAAATGGGAAAAAGGGAGTTGACAATGGTAAGACAATGGGTTATTTATTTCTTATTCCTATTATTGAATAACACGTAGGTTACTTTATAGTTGCGCAAAACGTAAGTGTGTTGTGAACTGAGTTGTATGTGTTGAATGCAGTGTATTGCTGTGGCCTGAATGCTCTTTAAATGGAGTAAGAGATCGTGTTCAGAAAATGTGCTGTCCCAGCACCTGACAGATATACATCAGTGCTGACAGACGAGGCCGTTCAATGTGGGTCAGGGAGAGGGGCTTGAAGTTACTGTGTTCAACTACATTGTCATAAATCATAGCTAGTCGGGGCAAGTTGTCACAAAAGCTATATATCAGTAACAGCTAGGGTTAGAATTAAAAGTCCAAATATGTTTTTTTCTAGTAGTGGGGTTGTGCAAAATATCTAGTATCAAGTGAATATCTAGTGCAAAAGTGAATAATTTTTGTCAGTCTGTTTTTTTTGTAATGCTGTAAAACCACATTAACCTTTCTGTCTACTATTTTCCCAATTGTAACTTCCTCTATTTTTTTTTTTTTTGTGAAAGTTGTTCATGAGTTCTTCAGAAAAATCCTTCAAGTCCCACAATTTTTTTTGTTTCCAGCGTCTTTTGCATATTTGAACCTTTTCCAACAATGACTGTATGATTTTGATATCCATATTTTCACATTGAGGACAACTGAGGGACTCAGTTGCCATATATATGTATGTGTGTATATATATATATATATATATATATGTATGTGTGTGTGTAGACTAGAGTAGAATATTGTCTAAGACATATTATGGTAATAGCGTTATTTTAAATTTTTTTTGTTTCCAGCATCTTTTGCATATTTGAACCTTTTCCAACAATGACTGTATGATTTTGATATCCATATTTTCACATTGAGGACAACTGAGGGACTCAGTTGCCATATATATGTATGTGTGTATATATATATATATATATATATATATATAGATATAGATATAGATATAGATGTATGTGTGTGTGTAGACTAGAGTAGAATATTGTCTAAGACATATTATGGTAATAGCGTTATTTTAACATTTGACGTGAAGCCTGTCTTCCATTTTGTTTCTATCACATTTGTCCCACTAGCTAATCAACGCCAGCCACCAGTTTATGCCCAGCGTTGTGTGTCATGTGCCTCTGTTTTGTCTGGTGTGAGATTTGGCCTGGTGAATGTGGGCAACAGACATTAAGCCAAAGTAAATGACCTAGTCAGCAGCAGTTCCAGTTCAGCTTTTGTTGAATAGCTTATTTTGTGTAGAGGAAAAAAATTGTATGTGCCAGTTCTGTGCTTTACTGACAACAGACATGGCCTGGACTGTTTGTTGGGTGTCAGAAAGTAGACGTTATTCTTTTCCTAGTCCTTGAATAATAGCCATTTTCTCTTGTGTCCTGCTATCTGATGGCAAATGCCCATGAACTTGTGTGATCGAGTGAAAAATGTTATGCATGTGTCTACAGTAACTATTAACCTGCTGTTTAGAGGAGAAATGGAGCTGAAAGAGCACTGAGAATGGGAATGTTTTGGAAACGGGACAAATGTTAAAAAGATTTCAAATGACTTTTGGGAAAGAGTCATTGTGTATGTCATATTATGCAGCTTTAATGAAATGTTTTGTGTATATAATGATATGTTTTGTGTCCCAGGTGCATGTCCTTTGAACTGAAGTGATGTTGCTCTTGAGCTGTGGACAGCTTCTCATTAGCTGTAGTGTTTGTTCACTGGAATAAATCAAAAGGCACTTCATTTTGCTTTTTCATCAGGAAAGCCTCATGTTATATTCAGATTGTGAGTTATAATAGCTGTAGTTATTAGCAATTGCTGAGGTAGACATGCTTTTTCAAATAGCCATTGCCATAAAACAAGAGTTTTAAACTTTGCTGGCCACCCAGAACACTCTAGTGACATCCTAGCAACCACTTAGCAACTGTGTAGCCTAGAACACCCTAGCAATATCCTAGTAACTTAGGACACCATAGCAGCTGCATAGCAATGCTTTGCCAACCCACAACACCATAGTGTCCTGCTGGTTAACTTTTGATACATTCTTTACCTAGCAACTATTCAGAACACCCTGGCAACATCCTAGTAATTACTGAGAACACCATAGCAACTGTGTAGCAACACCTTGGCAACCCATAACATCATAGTGTCATGCTGATGAATTTTGGATACATACCTAACAACCACCCAGAACACCCTAGCGACATCCTAGTAACCACTTAGAACACCATAACAACTGCATAGCAACACCTTGGCAACCCACAACACAAAAGCATCATGCTGGTGAACACCCAGAACATCCTAGCGACATCCTAGCAACCACTTAGGACACCATATAGCAACTGCTTAGCAACACTCTGGCAATCCACAACACACCACAGCATCATGCTGGTAAACTTTTGGATACACTCTTCACTTAGCAACCACCCAGAACACTTTAGAAACTTTCTAGCAACTACTTAGAACAATGTAGCAACTGTGTAGCAACACCTTGGCAACCCACAACACACCACAGCATCATGCTGGTAAACTTTTGGATACACCCTGGTGACATCCTAGCAACCCCTTATAACAGTGGTTCTCAATTCCAGAGTTCCATGCATGAACTGTGTTCCGATTGACATGGTCCCTACACAGTGTTCATTGCTCCCTACTCCCTGAGCACGGGAAATCCGTTGAAGTTTACTTCACTTCGGAACATTCATTCATGGATTTGCGCTGCGCCGCTGCCTGCAGCGTCTTCACACACAAACGAAACTTACTAGAAAAGTGTCAAATGTGATTTAACGTTTACCATCCAACCTGACAGAACTGGAGAGGATCTGCAACTTGGAGGAATGGCAGAGGATCCCCAAATTCAGGTGTGAAAAACTTGTTGCATCTTTCCCCAAAAGACTCATGGCTGTATTAGATCCAAAGGGTGCTTCTACTAAATACTGAGCAAAGGGTCTGAATACTTAGGACCATGTGATATTTCAGATTTTCTTTTTTAATAAATCTGCATAAATGTCAACAATTCTGTGTTTTTCTGTCGATATGGGGTGCTGTGTGTACATTAATGAGGAAAAAAAATTAACTTAAATGATTTTAGCAAATGGCTGCAATATAACAAAGAGTGAAAAATTTAAGGGGGTCTGAATACTTTCCGTACCCACTGTATACCTCTGTACATAAATACAATTTAAATTCACGTCTCGCACACTGAATGGCAATGCCCTGGCAATCCACCACTCATTGGTACACTTTGGGATACACTCTTCACCTAGCAACCACCCAGAACACCCTAGCAACTGCATAGCAACATGCTTTACCACCTATTATTCCTTTTTCTTGTTTTCAAGCACAGTTTCATTCTCTTGAAGCTTTGGATTTGAACAGTAGTCTCTTGTTTTGCTTGTTTTCACATCTTCAGTTCTCCTCGTTTATCATTGTAACTCATCAATAATGGACTGTAATTGATAGTCTGGAGTGTCACAGCAGCTCATAATGGTAGTTTACCATGAGCACATAACCCATACTCAGCAGGAGGAGGGATCCTTGCTCAGAATGGCTCAGGTGTGCTCGTGTGGACTTGCCCTAATGTTATAGTCACATCAGCTGCTCGTCAGGCAGCTGAAGCATGTCTTAATGACACTTTGTCCTCATGTCTGTGGTTTGCAAATCCATGCTGCTTTTAGCTGGCAGGCCGGTCACCAGTGTTGTTTTACAAACAATGCATCACAGGAATAAATTACATCTTAAAATATATTCAAATAGAAAATAGCTATTTTAAATCATAATAATATTTCACACTATTACTGTTTTTACTGTATTTTTGATCAAATAAATGAAGCCTTGGTGAGCAGAAGAGACTTCTTTCAAAATATTTGTTTGAAAGGTAGTGTCTGTTTTTTTAAACTTTTGAACAGTAGTGTATGTTTTAGGCGTTGTAACTGTGCAGGCATCGTTTCTTTTATGTTTTCGGCATAATTAATCACATATCTCATGATGTCATAAATTTAATATTGTCTCTCATTTATATAAATAGTTCCCTTGAAAATGAAAATTCTATCATTATTTATCTACTCAGTACAATTCTTTAAAAAATTCTCCTTTTGAAAAAACAAAAACAACCAAGTATAAATTTGGAACAATGTGGATAAGTAAATAGCCTATAGAAACTCATAAGAAAATGTGTATTTTTTCAGTGAACTACAGTATATTAATTTTTAGAAAAATATGAGGATTATTGGTAATTTTTTATTTTTTTTTTGGCAAAGGAGCCTGTTCAAGAGTGGGGTGAGGAGCACGAAAATGGGGCGGTGTTTGGGATCACCCTGCGCAGAGAGCCGGTCCAGCTGTCAGCCGATCCCACAGAGGCTTTCGTTCAGTACCGAACATGTAAAGTACGCAGGCTAAAAGCGGCCACGCTGGACAAGCTGGTCTCTCACCTTCTGGACCCCTGCTGTCAGGAGCAAGACTACGGCAGGATACTGCTGTCCACGTATCGCACCTTCACCAGCTCCAACAAACTCATCGAGATGCTCCTTCAGAGGTGTGTGTTTAGATGTGTGCGCACTAATATGCAAATGTGAGTTTGTGATGGCCAGCTGTATTTGGTTATCAGTAGTTTGTGTGTGTTGAGTTTTTTTCCCTACATCATTAAGATACGTCATCACTGATCACTTCCTTGAACTCAGTTTCCACTGGTCGTCTCTGAAGGTTCATGGGTTTATATAGTCATCAACCTTCTTTGAGGTTTCAATTAGGCAGCTTTGAATGATAAATTTCACACTTTTGGTTTAACACTTGGGTTGTGAAAACCGGTTTTGTCTATTCATTAAACCATTACAGAATATGACAGACAAGTAAGAAAGCCTGGGTGTTGGTTGAATCTTGCAAATTAAAAGCATCACTTTTAAAGTTTGAAAGATATTAGACGAATGCAGTGTCCATATAAATCTAATTACACTGATTTATTAATTGTTTGATTGGTTGCACTATTTTTTTTTTATTTATTGCACTTTTTATTCATCACACTTTATTCATTTATTAGTTTTGCTTCTCTAGCAAATTCATCTTTTAGATATTTTTCCTGGAAAACAATGCAGATACTAATAAATAAAGGTTTTATTTGAGTCTTTCAGTCATACTTGAACATGTAAAATGTAAAGGTGTGTCTTGGTAGTTTGATTTATAGCTACTGTCTCTTATTACACTGTTTTGTCAATAAGGTTTTACGACAAGAAGTCTTAAAATAATTAAGCACCACACAGTACTAGTAATGTTTATATATAAATAGTATTTGTAAAGAACTTTACTTTTTTCTTTTTTTTCTTTTTTTCTAAAAGGGGCAACCTTGTCTCTGCGCTTGACGGCACCAATTACCCTAACAGGTAAAAATATACTTGGAAAATGGGATGTCTGATATACCTTTTATGTACAGTAGACCTTGATTAAATTGTCAATGTGTGTGTGTGTGTGTGTGTGTGTGTGTGTATATAAAAACACTGTGGCTCTGCATGTGTACAGTTGCTACATGTAATACAATTTTGAAAATGCAGATTCCGTGTGTATATATTTATATTTATTGATTTATTTCCCTCATAGCTCCTTGTGGACTGTGCTTCAGATGTGGTTGGAGGAGTACAGTGATGATTTGAGGGACGCTCCCATGCACTCGTCACTGCGTCTCATGTGCTTGCAGTTGAGAGGACACCCTGCTCTCTTCCTGCTGGCCAAGCGCTATGAAACGCTCCTTAGGAAATTCCAAGCTGAAGGTCATTTTTGAATAATGTATTGTGAATTATCACTTTTATGATGTTCTTTTGATTCTTCTATTCATTAAAGAATCCTGAAAAAATATATCACATATATATGATATATATATGTGTTTTCAACACTGAAAATAATAAGAAATGTTTCTTGTGCATCAAATCAGAACTGATTATTAGAATGATTTCTGAAGGATCATGTGACACTGAAGACTGGAGTAATGATGCTGAAAATTCAGCTTCGATCCCAGGAATAAATGACATTTTTACACAATTACATTCAAATAGAAAACCGTTATTTAAAATTGTAATAATATTTCACAATTTCACAGTTTTGACTGTATTTTTCATCAAATAAATGCAGCTATGGTGAGCATAAGAGACTTCTTAAAAAACATTTAAAAAATCTTACTGATTCCAAACTTTTAAATGGTAGTGTATATTCTCACCATATTTAATCCCATCTTTTTTTGCAGTTAACCTAATTAGTCTTGTGGTGTTAACATTTAAAAAATCTTACTGATTCCAAACTTTTAAATGGTAGTGTATATTTTCACCATATTTAATCCCATCTTTTTTTGCAGTTAACCTAATTAGTCTTGTGGTGTTGACAAATGGGTGTTTAAATGTATTTTATTTATTTTTATTTGATTTATGTATGAATTTACACTTATGTTTATAAATGCACAAATACTGCGTATAGTCTCTCAATTACATAAATAGATAATTGATGGATTATATATTGAAATGTATTGAATTTTTTATTTGATGTGCACATCAAATTTTTATTTATTGTTATAGGCTGAAAAATGTGTATAGATCACATGTAGCCTCTTGAATCAGTCTGTCTTTTACACATCCAGATGTTGTGGCAGGTGGTCCAGTTGATCATCTAGAAGAATCAGCTTTGAATAAGGAGGAGAGAGACTTTGAGTCCGATAACCTAATGGATTTCTTGAGTTTCTCCATTACGGATGTTGCCGAACAGCTCACACGAATGGATGCTGTGAGTGCCAGTGTTTCATAGCTTGCTTCTGCTTGACTCCTCATGGTTATATTGACTTGTAATGTTTGTGTTCTTGATGTTTGTAGGACCTGTTCATGAAGGTGGTCCCTTTCCAATGTCTGGGCTGTGTGTGGTCTCAACGGGACAAGAAAGAGAATCTCTCACCCACTATTTGGGCCACCATCGCCCAGTTTAATGCAGTCACCAACTGGGTCATCACTTCTCTGCTTCGATCCTCGTCTTCTGCCACACAAAGAGCCAAAATCATTGAAAAATGGGTTCGGATTGCACAGGTTCGCTCTTTTTTTAGAGATGGGTGGAGGTTTAAATGATCTTCAGTGTTTCAAAGTCACTCTCACGCTGTCCATGTGAGATGCTGTCTTTTTTTAAGACTCCTTCAAAGATATTGTGTTAAAGAATGACTTTTTCATTTCACATAGGGGTGCAGAGAGCTGAAGAACTTCTCTTCTCTTAAGGCCATTTTATCTGCCCTTCAGTCCAACCCCATCTACAGACTAAGGAAAACGTGGGCTGCTCTCAGCAGGTACAAATACACTGCACAAATGTTATGGTCACTATAGTCACTATGTGGTCACTATAGTCTCGTATAGCTGGTTTTGTTCTCTGTGTAGTTTTTTTCCAGCAACTTAGTAGAAAACCTGAGTCGTTTGTGGAAAGCATTATGGTTAAGCCATATTTTGTTGTAAATCTCTGATTCTGTATCTCCAGAGAGGCCATGTCTGTCTTTGAGAACCTGTGTGAAACATTCCCTGATGAGAACTGTGTTCTGACCAGCCGAGAAATCTTTGTGGATGTAAGCCGTCAACACATCAGTGTTATTTTAGTATTATTTATATACCGTTGTAGTGTTTAGTAATATTTTGAATTTCTTAAAAATTATTTTTATTTTAAGTAGTAAAGTAGGGCAGTAGCTCATTATCATTTAAAGAGACATGCACCGAAACGGCTCGCTGTGAACTGAGCTGTTTTTGACAAGGTAAAAAGGGTGTTGTTTTACATGACCACTGAGGAACTTTAACCAGAGTATGTTGCAGACATTCATGAAGACCCTATCGAATCATACTAACTTGTGAAAAATGGCATCCAATGTTCGCTTTAAAGGGTTAGCTCATCCAAAAATGAAAATTCTGTCATTAATTACTCACCCTCGTATTGTTCGAAACCTGTAAGACCTTCATTCATCTTCGGAACACAATTTAAGATATTTTTTATGAAATATGAGGGCTCTCTGACCCTTCCATAGACAGCAAGGCTGAGACACACTGATATTGACTACTTTGTTTGACCAGAGTGTGCTGGGATTATCAGAGCAATGACCTGATCTCAGAGTTCATGTGAAAGCACTATTCTTATTATCGATGAGCGAAAAACAAAGGGCCTCAGTTCTAATTATTTAATTGACTGTTTTACCCAGTATTTGTTTGTACTGTGTATTTTTATAATTAGAGTGTCACATCTTAGCTTGACTTCATGCTATTTCTCACATGTTTTAGGATGGGAGTCAAGCTGACATGGATAATACTACCACAAAAACATCCAAGAGATGTCCTTTAACAAAACAGATGGTGAAGATGATGACAGTTGACACACTTTTTATATTCAGTAATAATTGTTTTACGGTGATTAATAGTGGAGTGATTTCTTACAGCGCTCAGCTGGAGGGACAGTTCCATATCTGGGGACATACCTTACAGTACTGACCATGCTGGACACTGCCCTACCAGACACTGTGGAGGTGAGGTTGGAATCATGTTTGTTTAGAAATGACGGACTGCTTGCCTTTATTAGTGACGCTCATACTATTACATTTCCGTCGCTTAGCAAACATCTAGCAATCATACCCTAGCACAGAATGCCCTAAAACACCCCAAACACCCTAGCAGCTACACAATTGGGCACTAAAATCAGCAGAACACCACAGCATGGCCACCCAGAACACCCTAGAAACACCATAGCAACGTCCTAGCATCACTCAGAATACATTAGCAGAGATGGTGCTCCCTAATAAAAATTAGCTATCATTACAATCATTTTAATACACCTCTTGTTATATTTCGATATGAATTATAATTTTTTAGTCAACATTGATAATGTTTCTTAAGCAGCATATTAGTATGATTTCTGAAGGATCATGTGACACTGAAGACTGGAGTAATGATGCGGAAAATTCAGCTTTGGATCACAGGAATATATTGCATTTTAAAATATATTTAACTAAAAAACAGCTATTTTAAATTGTAATAATATTTTACGATATTACAGTTGTTACTGTATTTTTGATCAAGCAAATGCAGCCTTGGTGAGCCATTTTATGTCTTTTAAGGACATCAAGATATTATCACTGTTCACTTCTAAGGTCTTTGACATAATTTCCTACAGACAGCTAAAGTTTCTGTCTTTGTTTTTAATGTCTTGTGCATTTACGTTGCTGTCGTGACTCAAGAGCAGCATTAAAAAAGTGTCCTTTGTCTCAGGAGTCATGTCCTCTGTACCGTATTCAGGGACAGACAGACGTCAGCACTCAAATGCTTCAAATTCTTGGAAATGTTTGTCCTAATCGCGTCCATCGTTTGAAGTTGCTGTTCAGTTCATATATGCTTCTTTACAACATTACATTCATGCATTTGGCTATATGCATTCAGGCTACATTTTAACAGGAATTGAACCCAAAACCTTGGTGTATCCAGCAGCATTCTCTATTTTCTATGTAGCTAGTTTCATGCTTTCATTCTTCTCCCATAATAAGCTCAAATCAATAAAATTGATGTAATATTATCATTCAGGCAATATAATAACCATTCAACTCTACATTAACCCCTTACAAAGTTAAGTCACCTGGTATTTTTGTCTATATCTAATCATCCAAATCTGTTTGTGCCAGTCCTGAACTGTTGCTTCACACTTGATAATGATTGTGATGGTGTCTTATGATAAAAGTGGCTCTGAAATGTCTCATCTCATAGGCTCTTTCCAGCTGCAGTCAGAACACTGAGGCTTTTCCCTCGTCTTCCTCTCCTGATTCCTCCACCGTGTCTAGTTCGTCCTTCAGCTCTCAGCAGGACCTCAACCTGAATCCATCTTCCTCCTCTTCCTCTTCTTCAGCATCAGCTGATCCTCACCTGGTCTCCTCCCATAAGCGCTCAGTCTCCATGACCTCCCTGCCCTTCTACAACAGGCAGGTGGACGACTCCTGCATCATCAGGGTCAGCGTGGAGTTCTGCAACAATGGCAACATGTACAAGAGCATACTGGTAAGTATGGGACAGGGAAAGCGGTAGCTATAAATATTGTACAGCATCTATTAAATATTTAAACAATTAAAAAATAATTTAAGATTTAATTATATATACACGTGTAAACAATTATTTAATTAAATTATTAATTAATAATTGAATAATAATAATAATAATTATTTATTTTTGCATCTCTAGCATAATTTTGGTTTGATATATATATATATACATACATACACACACACACACACACAATTAATTAATATAATGAATATTTTAATTAATAAATAATGATGTTATAGAATAATTTTTTTTTATAATTATCGGATCTCTAATCCCTAACTAGTTTGATATATATAATTGTATAATTATTATTTTATTAAATGTAAATATTAGTGCTATATATATATATATATATATATATACAGTGGGTACGGAAAGTATTCAGACCCCCTTAAATTTTTCACTCTTTGTTATATTGCAGCCATTTGCTAAAATCATTTAAGTTAATTTTTTTCCCTCATTAATGTACACACAGCACCCCATATTGACAGAAAAACACAGAATTGTTGACATTTTTGCATATTTATTAAAAAAGAAAACCTGAAATATCACATGATCCTAAGTATTCAGACCCTTTGCTGTGACACTCATATATTTAACTCAGGTGCTGTCCATTTCTTCTGATCATCCTTGAGATGGTTCTACACCTTCATTTGAGTCCAGCTGTGTTTGATTATACTGATTGGACTTGATTAGGAAAGCCACACACCTGTCTATATAAGACATTACCGCTCACAGTGCATGTCAGAGCAAATGAGAATCATGAGGTCAAAAGGAACTGCCTGAAGAGCTCAGAAACAGAATTGTGGCAAGGC